GAAAGAACAACATTAAATCAATATGTATTGAACTAGAATTATTACTTTCCCTTATCACACTACGGTAAATCCTCGATGTGTGTCCGAAGGATCTTTGGCACAGAACATTCAATATTTCATAAACTAATGGCTATATGTGGCTGAAACAAATATCATTGACTTCAGAATTTCAAAGTCTATAATTGTGCTACACCTCATTAAAAAGTCAGCGTTACTCGAGGGAACCTCCTCTTATCAGTGCCGAAGAACGATCGAACATTCATTGAGGATTTATTGTATTCTCATTTGTAATCTCCTGATGAAGATCTTTAAAGGGTTATGAATGAATACTCAAGATGTTCTTTATTTATTGTATGACGAAACATAATGTGAGTATCAGAGACTTATTTTTTATATATACACAATTTACAGTCATAAACGTAAATAGCACAAAGTTTACAAGACCAATAAATACACCGTAAGGATATAAGTTGAGACATGGGAAATATTTGCAAAATTCACGACGGATAAGCTTCCAAATATATTTTCAATGCTTCGTTATTAGTACGACTGCTTGCCAGCAAAAACCACATACAATATATAATCTTCATACGCGTGCATACAAGAGTACAATAATGTTAATCGTAAGTTAACAGCGAATAAATTTACAGAGATTTACTCGTAAGTGTTGTAAATTGGTACCCCGTTCCGACATCTCGATACAATAAGTACATCTATTAATCGTAGAAATATTTACAAAGCAGTTTCACTTACAACTATAGCCCAGATAGTAATCTGCTTAAGTAGTTCGCGCACTTTTGACAATTTCGATCGTGGTATTTTCGATGTGATCTCTGGTTTTATTGTTCTATCTACTATCTGTAACACGTGTAATATACTGTTAAAATATCGGAAGTTTCATGGACAGACGGATGGACAGTCAAAAGTGAGCGAAAAACGTGGTTGCATCGCGCAGGCATTCTATAATCTACGTCTTATTGTCGCGTCACAACGTTTTTCTTTTTCTCAACGGCACACTATAAATAAACGAACGCAGTATCGCTCGAGGACCATGACGAACCATTTCTCTTTCGAATTCTTATAAAGTCAGGCCGTCATTCCCTCGCCGCGACCGTCAGTGTCCAACTAATCGCTTAAATAATAACTAGTTACTCGCATCGTCGCCCTAATCGCGTATTGCACGCTTAGCAAATAACCTACAAAATGGAAGACATAGATTTTGTTCCTCTTAGTCTAACTAAAGCCTATATTTTATTCACAATCTGCGGATGTTCGTGCGATTTTATACGTATTTTAATATATTAATTTGCAAAGGGGGAATTCCTCAGAAGTCTGTCGCCTTTGTTAAGCACTAGCATCCGCAGTCTGCTTCTTAAGTATATTATTCGATAATTGTGTAAAATCTATCCTAATATGATACAGTGTAGTGTCAACTCATGAGAGGTCGCGTTTGGATTTCCTTTTTTTCTTTCTCGTTCATTCACAATTGAATCTGCTTCGTCCCATTAAACTGAACCTACCCTTTCTATTTTTCAAGATGGCGTCGATATTTCTTACAAGTAAACACTGCAATATGCAATTGTATATAATATTCTTGATGTCGCTATAAATGCATCATTGGAAAAAATAAAAATAAATACGTGGTACATGGAAAGTCGTAAAAATGTAATCGCAAACGTGCTGTTCTCACAAAGGCAACGTGATTAACCCAATACGGTCGCCGATATTTCTAAAAGAAAACTTCAATAACAAAACTATATTTTTTCCCATCCAACCTTAATTTAAAAAAAAATTAATGAAACATAAGAATAAGTGTTTACAGATCCTGCGTTAAATTTAGTGAATCACTCAACTATGCAAATCGTAACCTGTCGATACATCTCTGAAGTTTATCTGTTCGTGTAAACATGAATAAAATTCAGTATTAATTTTTTTTCGATTTACATTAAAGAAAAAACCTGGAAGTCTCCATGGGTTTCTGTTTAGTGACGACCGATCGCGCGACATCTCAGGTGTTAAGAAACTAGGCGTGGACCACGTCGATGCACGTTCAACGTAGCACCGTGTCCCCGTATAAATATCAATTTATTGCATAATACACACATCGCACGTCGATGTCCCGTTCACACGCCTCAATCGGAAAAACAATGTCGCGAGCATGGAATTGCGACGGACCGTCGTCGTTATCGCGGCACGATCGTTTCGACGCCATCGACAAACGACAATGAACTCCCGTATTTATCTCGCTAACGAAAATCCCTAACGGGCGATAAGCGATTTCCTTGGGACGTTTAGCTGTCGTAGATGCGTCGGAGCGCGTGAACCGGACCTAGCGTAGTAGAGAATTCTTAAGCCTAAAAAGCGAATTAAGCTCCTACCCGATAATCTCGATCGCGAGAATATTCCTGGCCTTCTTTCGTTCGATATACAACACGAGATCCGATCGTCAGGATCTTGGTTCACACGAGAACCAATCCTTTATCTCGCCGATACCGAACCGTATACAAATATGTCTGATCGACACGGTTGATCTAGGAATGATAAAGACATTATCGAACGCGGAACAGATAACGGATGAGCGAAATGTGTTACCAATAAGACTAACCTTAACGCTACCGGCACCATCGGCCGAACTAACCTATGAGATATGTAAATTCGTTCCTGTCATCATCCCTCATCGTCGATCCTCTTCAGGGGATAAGGTCACAGTTGCAAGCGGTACCGCCCTGGCCGTTGTCACATTGGGTCATACACCACATATCCCAGTCAACGGGCAACTCTGTAGAGTCTGACTCGTCAGGAGTGTCAGGGTTCAAGTGGACAAACCCAGCGATCCTAGAGTTCAACCAGTCTTCGCCGAAGACCGACTCTTCTTCGTCCTCCTCCTCCAGTATCATTTTATCCTCGACGGGAATATTCCTCTCCGCAGAATTAATCGGGACCAGACTTTGGTCCTCAGTTATTTTCTTCAAGATAGTCAATAACTTTATCGACCTCCACCGTTTCAGCTCTTCAGGGTCATCATCGTCGTCGAGGGAATTCTTGGGTAGAAGGACGTCTGCTGGATTGTTTTCCAAGCTGTCATCTCTCGAAGAGTCACAGAGGCAGGCTTGCTGCCTGATCAGAATCTCCCTGAAGACGCGACAGGTCTGAGAGCCGTCGAACAGTTCGCTGTCAGGCGAACCGGGACCACCACACGGGGTCAAACAAAGGCTGAGGAGGCGCTGTATCGGGTACCGGCCTACGCCGGACTGAAGGACGAGCGTCTGACGGTACTCGCAGACTCCCGTGATCTCGGGGATCTGGTTCCGAGCACGGCAAAGGCGAACGCATGCGTAATCGTCGGGTTGCGCCCCGACGCCGGCCAACAGAAATGCCAGCAACACCCACCACGGCAGAGGCGTCATCTGAAAGTGATGGCTAATCAATACCAGGCCGAACGAGGAACTACGGCGTTCCGATAGTTCGCGGAGGAACCATCGGAGGGATTGGTTATGGCAATCGGGGACATTCCTGGAGTTCGAATGCCCTCCACCCTTTGGGTATACGGGGTGTCGTCGATGAAAATGCTCAGAGACAATTCGTCAGGAGAACCTGAATTGGGAAAGGTGAATCGATTGGTACAGGTGGAAGCCATTGTTTTCTGAAGTCTAAGATTTGAAAATATTCACAGTGAAAAGATTGATGGAAGAAATTGTATCTGGATGAAGATTTCTAATGAGGACCTTTAATCTGTAGGTGAGCTTAGCTGGATTCCACAGGTGAACCGATTGGTCCAGGTGGTAACCATTGTTTTCTGAAGTCTAAGATTTGAAAATATTCACAGTGAAAAGATCGATGGAAGAAATTGTATCTAGAGGTGAACCGATTGGTCCAGGTGGTAGCCTTCATGTTCAGAAGTCTGGGCTTTGAAAATATTCAAAATAAAATAAAGGTTTTTATTGAGGACTTCTTCAAAAGATAAGCTCAGATCCTCAAGCACTCTTGATATTAACACCAGTTTTCTCAAAAATGTGAAGAAATGATGTCCTAGACTTTTTATTTGTTATTTTCGGTGTAATCACAAGATTATTGGTTTTGTCCTGTTCTGTGGGACACATTGTAGTGCCCAACCTCGGCTGGCACGCGGAGCGGGAGTAATACCGAGGGGATCTTGGTATCCGTTATCGGTTTCGGGTGCCGTGTGTCGATAACTGGCCTCTGCTTCGAGTTTGCTTGTGGAATGAGGCGTACAGGCCTTCGCTGAACTTCGCCATAAATTCTACTAATTGTCGTCTGGGTTGTAGCTTGCCGGAAGACTGCCTCCCCTTATTTCTCTCATTCCAGCCGAGGTTTTTTCAGATCGAAGATTTAAGTTCCAAGGTACGAAATCACGAGGAAAAGAATGATCTTAAACTTGGCAGACATCTATAGGTGTTTACACGAAAATACGTAGACGAACATGGTTCCTCGATGCGTTGTTTTATTGTCTAATCCAGTCTCTCGACTGGCGTTTTAATTAGAACGATAGTTGCATGTACATAAATTACGTACACGTCCGTGGAGAAACGTTAAAGCGATGCACCAGTTGCTTCCCAATGCGGGGAAAATAATTGAAAGATCGATGTCGATAGTCACGGCCATTATGCTAACGTTGAAATCTGTTTTCTTTGTTTCGGACGCTGCTCGTGGAAATTGCGATTCATTAATACACGGACAAAGGAATCCTTCGATTGGTTCGATGAAACTAGGATCGGTTTCCAGTGTGTACCAATGAAAAATGTAATGTTGTCGGTGAATGAAGGTAATGTTGACACTTACCGTTTATCTCGATTTATTGTACAAAGATACGGAGAGCGTTTCCGATCGGATCAAGTTCGTTTTCGATTGCGCAAAATGAACACGGAGGTACTCGTGGCTTCGCGAACGCACGCTGCTGCCTCGACTGTGTGATTACAGGTAGCGTGTGTCGTATTAACTATCATTGGCTGTATCGTGTAGCACTGTCTGATTACGCGTGCACTTATCGAAGGAGCATAATAAACGATAACGATCCTTGCGCGCGCTTCTTTTGTTTTCGTCGGGGAAGATATCCGACGACTCGAAGACCCTCGGCATTTAACGAATTTTCTCTGTATTTTATACGTCGTCGAGTAGATGATTTCAGTATATTGCACAATTATATACACTCTAGAATAAAGCACAGACTGTCTGTTACTTTGTCTCGAAACTACTTCACAACTATATGTAGTAACATTCAGCTAAAAAACGTGTCAATACTACTGCCATAATGATCGATAGAAGACAGTATATGGTAGAAGATAAACATTAATATCTGTGAGTTACAGTTAATGTACATACAGTGGGGAAAAAAAGTAGTCGTACTCGCTATAAAACAGAACGACTTTTTTAAAATTGGACCAAGTGACTTCAATTTTCATTACATTACAGTCTCCGATAAAAGGTTACTTGACAAATTGCAACTTTTTAAAAATATTTTTCAGATCATTTAGTAGACTAATCTTTCTAATCTAACAAAAAAATCTCACGTGGTCTAATTTTAAACAGTTGTATTTTAAAGGGTAAGCGAATACTTTTTTTGCCCACTGTAGATGGCTGTCAGACTGAAATATTCCCAAATTCAGGAAACTAAACATAAAATTGGACCGAAACATCTCACAAAACTGTATACAGATGGTTACACGAGCCGTAAAAAAAATCTTCAATCGCTATTCTTTCGTCTAAAAATGGCAAGGCACTTGCATTGATTATCCACTGTTTTGTGCCTATTTTACATCGTAATTGACAGAACCGGCATTGTCATTCGTTGGCGACAAAGGACAACTGAATTCTGTCCATAGAAGCTCCGCGATTGAACACCGACAACGATCGATATGCAACCGCGTGTGCATCCTCCGCATTCCCGTGCATACACGGAAAGGGTTACGCGTGATCGCGAATATTCATGGGGGCCAGACAACGGGCTCGTTTATCTCTGGAAACGAATTTCGCGTAACCTAGATTGAAAACTTTGCGAAATTCCAACCCCGGGGACATTTGTCTCATTCCTGGTGTATATTTTTCTTTTTTTTTTTTTTT